TCTAATATATTAAGATATTAGAATAATTTATTCTAGAAATATTAGAACATATTCTTCTAATCTTTTATTCTAGAAGTACTTCTTCTGGAAATTCTGGGTCTTTCTTTTCACACCAAGGAATCATCTCTCGGATACACTGACCTGTAACGTTGTGGTGTACAGCATCCGACTGAAGGCAGTGTGCCTCATCTACTAAGTGTTGCAAAGATCTCTTTCTCAGAGAAGTTTTTCTGGATAAAAAGAGCCACTGTTCCTCTTCTTGAACTGAGAAAACATGATTTGCAGACAGACAGACCAACCATATGTACACTACCATAAAAAAGACAGATACCACCCATCAAAGCCAGGGGACTAACACTTGAAAGAGACTGGTCAGATTTTCTCTGAAGGCACTGGGGCATTGCATCTATGGTATAATCCACATAATTCCGTGGTTGGGGATAGGAAGTACAGGGTCAATCAAGTAAGATTTATGTGTATGTTCCCCAAATACTCCCAAAATAACATCACATGAAGTATCACCATTCTCAACAGGCTTGCTCCAGTAAGAGCTCAGCCCATAACCTCAGCCATGAGAATTTTCTGGGTGGAGGGGTCCAGGCCAGAGTTGGTTATTGCGTAACACACAGATAGACAGACATTGGTTGTCTCTGTGTGGCCTTTAGCATCTCTCCTTTTGAGATAGGAGAAAAGTCCTTAGAAGAACAAAACCTGAAGGCTGCAGAACTCTGCTTGATGTCCTGTTCACTTGGAGACTGATGCAGGGCGCATGGGTAAATACTTTTAGGGCAATTAATAAGTGTTATGCAATAATCACAGTAACAACAACCTTAACTCTGCTCTATATTTAACTGGACCTTTGGACATGCTTCTTGAATAACAAAAATACCTCTCCTTTCCTAGAGTCTAGGAACAGCCAAAAAACTAAAGGCTGGTGATAGATGACATTCGATATCCACTGGCGTAGGCATGTGCAGAGGAGAGTAAGGGGCAGTCAAGTCAGCAGATGGGCTTCCAGCGAAAATAGAAAATAGACTCCTAGGGTGTGTTATTCAACGCTCTTATGCTAGTCTCCCCCAAAATTTCCAATCCTTCTTAGAAAGCATTTTTGTTTATAATTTTGCTCACATATGCACCATACAGTAAGTATTCAACCTCCCAAGGCAAGCATTAAAATACCAAAGCCAAAAAAGTGTGCTTACAAAATAATAACAAAAGATAATCTGGCAAATGGTAAAATGTAAATGTGAATGGTAAAATGTAAATTATTAAAGTCCAGATATATTTAAAAACCTTAAGGAGCTGGGAAAAAAGGTATCTGATATGTACGGAACGATTCTACATAATGTAAAATGGGTATTAGGGCAGAAAGTCACATGTATCCCCTAAGTGTGTCAATGTGAGTCACAATCGCTAGTGATTTCAACGGAAACCAAGGATGTGTTTAAGGCCATTTTTTCAAATCCCTAAATTTTTTCATTCTTATTTTAAATCCCCAAATTCTAATGTGAAAATTTTCAATGTAAGGACTTACTTCGATTTGCCAAATGCTTAGATTCATTTAAAATTGAAAACTTTCCAAGTGCCCAAAAGAGAACATTCATTTGGGCAGAAGAGGTGGGGTTTTGAGGTCTACCAGATGACCAGGATGTCTGGCTCTGAGCCCACCCTTGCCACCCTTCATTCCCATGTAGCAGAAGGAGCAACCTGGGCTGTTACCTGCTGGGGATGGAGTGGTAATACTAGACTCTGCTTCTGGACCCTCACCAACTTCATTTACTGCTGCAACAGAAAACCTATTCCAAAAACAATTTAGAGAGATGTGTTTCACATGGCATGGTGTGAACATGAGATAAAAATAGAAGAAGAAATAACGTTTCTATTTAAAGGACCGTGTGGCAATGCACGTATCTGGTTACTTGGTGCCACTGCTCAGCACTAAAATGACCATCAATCACACCCTTGTTTGCATTCCCCAGAGAACAGTTGAGGGTCACAGAGGTCAAAACCTGAACTCTGCTATCTGCACGACCCTCATTCCTCTCCTAATTTAAAGAGGCCTTAGTAAATGCTAAAAAAGCTAACAAAAGTAAAATAATCCCCCTAGTGGTTAATAAAAATACCATTAACAGAACTTCACCTCCCTGCTTTTTTATATTGAGTTAAATGGAAAAAACAGCATTCATGGTGTTTATGATGTCTTTATTAGCCCACATTTATAAGGATCCTCTGAATATCATAGAAAGAGAATGTTTTTGCTTAGGATGGTGTAATCTAGTAAGCAGATAAGCAACAAGGACTTCAACTTAATAGCATGGAGTCAGTGGCACTTCTCAAAGTACATTTAAAATATTTTGGGGCCATATTTCTAAAGTAATTATCATGCCTGTAGCCATGTGGGTTACATCTTCCTCTGTACCCCTTAACTCTTACCTGTAGGTGGTATTTGGAAGGGTGGAGTAAAACTGGAAACTCGTTCTCTGTGTCCCTGAATCTAATTTTTGATTTTTGCTGATCAGCCTTAAGTTATAACCCAAAATAGGTCCACCTGGGAATTGGGGTGGAGCCCAACTGACTTCCACAGTGTCGGGACTTGAGCTCTCAATATTCCTAATGAAAGGAGCAGTTTCAGGAACTGGAAGAGATAATGGTGATATCATGAGCAGAAAAATGAACAGGGTTTATGTTTTCAAAATAGGATTTTTTTAGAGTCTTATTTTTTGAAAAGTTAACAGAAATATTTTTATTAATTCTCAAAATATGTGCTAGAGGGAAGGTGGTAAGGTATCTATGAGCTGTAGCCCTTGATCCCTAAGTGATACTACTTTCCCAAGAGGCTCTTGCAAATGTTATTTTCCTCACTTCTAATTAACGATATAAAATTAATTGTAGAAATATACAAATAGGATAAATGTTCTAGAAAAAAAAATTGTCAAAAATCTCTAGAGACATAAATGAGTTTTAACATGGGATGGAACCAGGTTAGGAAAGAGAAAAGAATCTGAACAAAACTGGAGTTGATGATTAACATGAGTGGCAAAAGTCAGTCCTGTGGCCTTTTCACTCACTTGAGTGCTGTAGTCTGACTAGTTCCAGCTCAAGATGTGAAATTAAAAAAAAAAAAAAAGATGTGGGTTTCAGATACACCAGAATTAGAACAGTCTTTTCCACTTTTTTTGACCTCAGTTCTGATCGGCCTGACTACACCTTCCTCACCCCAGCTCTCATGGTCCGGAGAATCCAGGCCTACTGAGCTTCGGCAACACCCCTGCCCTTGCATTATTAAAGGAGCATGCATGACATGACTGAGATTTCACTCACAGACCCTAGGAGCTACCTAAGTGGCAAAGAACAGAAAGGAAAACGAATGATCTGACAGTTTCCCATCCATGTCTCCACCTACTTTTCATATCCAAACCCCTGAAACCACACTCTTTTATTTCCTCTTGACATAGAATGACACACTTGGATGTCACTTTGCTCTTGAGTAGACTTCTTTCCCTCTGAACCTTTTTAGCAAATGTTCTGCATCACCACTGACTCGGAGTTGGGAGAAATGAGGGAGTTTGGCTCTCACGTTGGATGAGTTTTCACAAGACCTCTTAATTGGTCTCTCAGCCTTTCTCTGCTACAATTCCTCTCCAACTCTCAGACTAAGTTTCAGCAAATACAAACATCATTACGTCCCTCCTCTGCTCCACAGACTCAGTCACCTTGATGAACAGGGAAGCAGGAAATATCTCCCACTGAATTAGAATCAGGAGGTCAAAAAACTTAACTTGTTAGGGTCAACACCCAAACGTGATCTGCTACACGTCAAGCAAGTTAAATGCCATGGCAAGATGTTATGTCTAAATCTTCTCCACAAAAAAACAATCCTCCCTAAAAGGCTGGTATTCCTTGCCTAAAAATCATCCCTCTTTGTTAAGAAATTATTTTCTGCAAGGCTCCAGTTAAAAGGCAATAACATCATCTAAAATCATATAATTCCCATAACTAAAAGAAAATAGGGGCCGGAAGTGGTAGCTCACATCTGTAATCCTAGCACTCTGGGAGGCTGAGGCAGGAGGATCGCTTGAGGCCAGGAGTTCAAGACCAGCCTGAGCAAGAGCAGAGACCTCATCTCTACAAGAAACAGAAAAATTAGCTGGGCATGGTGGCATGCACCTGTAGTCCCAGCTACTTGGGAGGCTGAGGCAGGAAGATCACTTGAGCCCAGGAGCTTGAGGTTGCAGTGAGCTATCATAATGCCACTGCACTCCAGCCTGAGTGACAGAGTGAGACCCTGTCTCCAAAACAGAGAGAGAGAGAGAGAGAGAGAGAGAGAGAGAGAGAGAGAGAGAGAGCACTATGAAGCAATGAACACAAAATAGATAAGTTTCTAAGTTTTGATGTGGTTAGAAAAGTGAGAAGGAATCAGAAGCATGAGGTACTATTCATGAAAAGGACACTCACTGTAGGGTCTGGAAGACCTGGAGGGCATGTGGGCTTGCATATCTAGGAGAAAGGCCCAGGGCCCAGAAATGAAAAACAAAATTTGCCTTCTTCATTATTTTGATTTGACCAGCATGGGCCCTGGCCCACGGTATTTCTCCAGCACTAAAAAATGTTCCAGCACTGTTGGAGTACATGAGGCATTGCTTGGAACAAGGAAGGACGCATTTTACTATCATCTGGAACATTTCCAACATGGCCCTAGGCCAGTCTCTGACCTGTAGTTCTAAGCCAAGATGGTCAGAGAATAATCAGCAGAGGTGACCACACAAACCCTGAAATCTGCTAAGCAATGAGAGGGCATTCATCAGGGAAAGGGGGAAATGCCCTCACAAACTTCTTCAGCTGCTCAGCTCTGCTTAGGTGTAAGGCCTGGTTCAATCTGAGGCTCTCTGCACACAGCTGCACCTCCAGAACTGAGGGGTACGGAATCCTTCCAGCCTGGAGCAGTCTTCCCGGGTCACCTCAGCTACCTCTGAGGGCGAGGGCACCAGACAACTCTCCCTGAGCATCTGTCTGCTCCAGCACTCGCCTCCCCATGAGGCTTCTAGGCTTGAATCTTTTTTCTGGGGTGGAAGTCACATCTTCAAAAGAAGAAATCAGAGAATTCCTCAATATATGTACTGTTTTTTAAAATCATCTCTGATAAAATGTTAAAATATTGTAATAACTTCCCAGCTGGCCTCTACCTATGTACTTTCCAACCTCTCTCATTCTCTCGATCTATTCTGTGTGTAGTTGCCAAAATTCTCTTTCTGAGAAGCATGTAAAGCAAGTGACCCCTCTGCTTTAAAACTTTCCATAACTTCTAACTGTTCTCTAAATAAAGTCCAAACTCCTCAGCCTAGGCATTTAAGATTCTTGGTGATCTGGACCTCACGTGCCATCCCAACGTTATTCTCATTATTTTTCTTCCTGTGTCCTGTGCTCCCAGCAGATGGAGTAGTCTCTGTTTTCCCTCCATGCCTTAGAATCCAATCTCCATGACTCTGCTCCTGCAGACACCTGGGCCTGCTCTGTCCTCTCCTCACCTCAGGTCTAACTCAACAAAGGAAACTTCCTCCAGAGAGGTGTCTTCGATATTTCGTTCCAGAAATAATATCTTCCTTCCCTGAACTTCCAGGAATGTGCCAATACCTCTCCTCTGTTTTCAACCAAGCGTTGCCATATGTGGGGTTAGTTAAGCATGTGCTTTATCCCCTCTACACGAGAGTAAGCTTCCTAAAGGCAGCATGCATGCACCTATAGATATCCTGTGAATATATTTTGAACAACAGAACAATAGCATTTACTCAAAACTAGTGTTGCTATACGAATGTATTAGTATTCAGCAGAGGGCAGCTAAGTTAAAGCCGTATTCTGATAGGGCTACATTCTGAATAAAGGTTGGAAAATGGTGAAGCTAGAACCTAGCAGAAAAGCAGCTTTTGTTGCTTTCCAGAGATAATGTGACTGTGTCCTATTCAGTGGTCCTCATTTTTTAAACACTTGCCTCTCTTGTCTTTGGACACCTTCAGCTCCTGAGTTTCCTCCTTCTCGGTGTCCTTTGCTGTCCCTCCTTCTCTTCCTGGTCACCACGAACTGGGACGCTCTTGGGCTGACACCCTGACCTGCTCCTCTTTTCAACCACGTTCATGCCAAGCCCATGCTGGACACGGCATCTGTATGTCGGTGACTCCCAGGCTGGTGTTTTGGATGTCTCCCACCTACTCCTGAGTTCCAAATCCATACATTTAATCGCCACCTCGGAAACTCCACTTGGATGTCTAATAGGCATCTCAGGTTTTACTTGACCGAAAACAGACCCTTTGATTTTCTCTAGGAAGCCACTCCTATTCTACCCTTCCCTGTCTCAGTGGATGGTTACACTGAAAGTCTGAGTTAGCAAGCTTTTCTCTCCTTCCTGCCCACCAAGTCCATTCAGCAACCCTATCAGCTCTATCTTCAGAATGTTTGACAAACCTTTCCACCTTCTTCACCATGACCACTCTTGTCAGAGCCACCATCACGATCTGCTTGGCCTCCTGGCTCCCCCCTGCTTCCCCTGGCCCACTCCCACCTGCAGCCTATTCTCCATGCAGCAGCCAGACTGAAAGTTTTGAAACTCGAACCAGTCCCTCCCCTGCCTAAAACTCTCCAAAGACTTGCTGTCATACTTAGAATACAGTCTGTACTCCTCATCACAGCCTAGTGGCCCCATGTGCCCAAGCCTCTGGCTGCCTATCGGATCCCCTCCCCTACTCCCCATCGGACTCACGGCGCTCCAGCCACTATAGCCACACTAGCCACTCCCCAGCTTATTGCCACTGTCCTTGCTCTTCCCTCTTCCTGGAAAACTCATTCCTGGATATTTGCATGGTTTCTTGCCTCATGTCCTTCAAAGCTCTGCACAAAGGTCATTTTTAGAAGGCCTCCCTGACCAGCCCTCCACCTAAAATGGTTCCCCGCCCCAGGCCCTCTCTATTACCATCCTACTTTTTCTTCCTGGCGCTCACTCCTATGTGAAATTACACTGTATTGTTTGGTGAGATGCATCCTCATTCCTCAGTGCTATATCTACCCATGAATTTTATGTGAATACTCCCGCCTCTTACCCCACTCCATTTCTCCCCAAGGAGAAGGATGAACACCCGCTTGGTGGCAGCAGCCGTGTGCCACAGTTCTCCATAGGGTGGAGGTAATGATCTCGAGGTCTTGAAAAAAGCAGTTTGGTCTCCTTATCCCTCCCTCTCTAGCAAAATCAGCAAGAGACAGCAGTGTCTGCTCAGGAGACTCAAACTTTCTCTTCAGTGGGTTGTTCTGAAGTCGGAGCTGGGGAGCAGGGAGTCGGCAATTTCATCCCAATTTTCATGCTAAGCTACATCATCCAACTTGGTCTTTATCAGAAATAATGATGATATTCCTGCTCACTCTTTCATTTTATCTTTTATTGGTTCAGAACTCAGTCTAGAAAGAGGGATGCTATTTACTGGGTTTCCTCATAACCCCAGCAAACACTTTCACTTCATTACTTGCCTATCTCCCCTAGCTGGAATGGAAGCCCCAGGAGTGTTGGGACTTTATCATCTTTGGTTCCTAGAACAATGTCTGTTATGTAATAGGTGCTTAAAGAATACTTATTGACTAAGCAAAAAAAGTACCTGACCTTCCTTTCAATGCTATTAAAAATGTAATACAAAATAACCAACTTTCCAATTAAAAAACAAAAATGAAGGTGAATCTTTTCACATTTTTCATTGTTATGCACCCAAGGATGTTTATAACCTAGGCCACAAAAGACTACAAATTATGTCAAGAAATAAAAATAGAATCCAAACACATCTTACCACACCACTGCCACTCCTTGGCCTCCCTCCCCAGGGTCACCGAGGTGGCCTCTTCCCAGGTCTCCCTGCTTCCTCCCACATAGGCACAGTTCATTCTCCGTACAGCAGTCAGAGTGGTACTTTTAACGTGTAGGGCAGGTCACATCCAATCATGTCACTCCTCTGCTCAAAACCTGCAAGTGACTCTCCTTCCACTCAGAGCAAAAGCTACAGTCCTTACAAAGGCCTCTGAGGCAGACTGTGATCTGGCCCCCACCACCTCTCTGGCCTTATCTGTTACTCCTCTTTCCCCTTCACTCTGCTCCAGCCACACCAGCCTCCCTGGATGCTCTTGTCTTAGGGCCTCCATACAGGCCATCCCTCTACCTGGAATGCTATATCTCGGATATCTGCTTGGCCAACTCCCTGGCCTCCTTCAAGTCTTTGCTCAAACTTTACCCCACCAGCTCACTGAGGCTTATTCTGGCCACCTTATTTAATACTACAACTGGCCTCTCCTTCCCCTCCCACTCCGTATTTTCAATCCCCCAAAGGACAAACCCTGCTCAGAATGTTCCTCTTACCATAGTACATAGCACCATCCTACTTACAATATATTAGTACTTTCCTTATTTCTCATGTTCATTGTGTAGAGTATTTCTCCTCCACCAAAATGTGAGCTCATTGTCTGTTTTGATCACAGAGATATTGTGAGCACCTGGAACACTACTTGGCACATAGGTACTCAATTGTTGAATGGATTAATTAATGAAGGAATAGATTTATTGCATTGTTTGAATTAAAAATGAACTAAAGCTAAGCTTGGGAATAACGTCCTTCTTTCACATGCCATGTGTGCACACCGTACCTCCATATGGATGAGTCCTGTAACTGGGACTTGGAGGAGAATAAAGCTGCAGCTGGGCTGTGAAGATCCAAACCACCCGGAAAACGTACGTGGTGAAGGGGTGCAGGGGCTCTGCCATGTACGAGGGCTTGGACACGGTCTAGATCAATGAGAGATCAATACTCAGCATTGGCAAAATCACCACCACACATTGTGACTTAAGAACACAGATTAATTTGTAGAAGATGGATGGCCTTTTGGACACTGGGCCACCCAGGGCCTGCCAGGCCCGATGAAGTAGAAGCCTGGAGCTTAGAGCTGAGCTATCCAGATATCATCTGCATAATTCACTCAGAAATTCTCTCCTTTTTCAAAAAAGCAAAATTATGGATTCAATTATTTGGCACTTACCTCAAAGATTTACTTAAATTTTTCCACGTTCATATACTTAGTGTCTTGGGACTATTTTTACTGAATTTTCTCATGTTTTCCTAGAAGGTACAATTCTGGGTGACCACCCTAGACAGTGCTTCTAAATTGGACCAACCCCTGTGAGAATCTTCCTCCCGCCCTCCATCCTAGCTGGAATCAGTTTAGCTGGGATGGGCAGATAATGGCCAACAGGATGAGTGGTTGTGTGGTGCTGTGCTGAAGGAATATACTCATGTGTCCAGTATTACATTTTCTTTATAAAATAAAGGGTTTCACATAGCATGTTACAGAGCAGCAGAGATTAAAGTCTAAAGTCCATCTAATCCAGCCACTCATTTTACGCTTGAATCTTTTTTAGAATGCCCCTTTTTTTTTTCCTGGAGACAGGGTCTTGCTCTGTCACACTGGCTAGAGTGCAAAGGCATCATCATAGCTCACTGCAACCTCAAACTCCCGACCATAAGCAATCCTTCTACCTCAGCCTCCCAAGTAGCTGGGACTACAAGCATACACACCATGCCTGGCTAGTTTTTCTATTTTTTTTTTTTTGTAGAGATGGGGACTTTCTCTTGCTGAGGCTGGTCTTGAACTCCTGGCATCAGGCAATCCTCCTGCCTCGGCCTCCCAA